GAAGGAGGGGGGAGGTGAATTCAATTTGGAATTGCATTAGGCATTAGGCCGACATGTGACCAGCATTATTTGCACTTACTCGATGAAGGAGTAGCCCACCAGGCGGCCGGCGTGCGAAAAGAACGCGATGATAATCAGATTAACGTGCCCAAAGATTCTTGTGATTTTCTCCGCCCCATAGAGAAAAGGAATACTGCTTACGGTGCCCACAGTGATGGTGATACCTAATCAATAAAATCAGCCATAAATACCTTAAAATACCCAAAACAAATAGAAACTCACCCAACAGATAGTTTGGAGCACCCAGTTCCTTGAGATACAGGAATAGGAAACTCTCGATGAAGCCCCAGAAATTACCAAGTACAAACAGGAAACAAATGAAGGCAATCACATGCGGCATTTTGAGTAGATTCCAAAGATCTCGGAACACATTATCAGCTGGTAATTTCTCGCCAAGAGGCATCATTAGTACCGACATGGTGGATATCACCAGCAAAACATCGTACGTATAGAAGGCTGCCGAATAATCCGTATAACCCAATCCCCGCGAGGAGTAATCAATCATAATGCCCGTTATCGGCGAGAATATGGCCATGCCGATACTGGAGAACAAACGCTCGCGTCCAAAATCACCGCCGTACTTCTCAATCATTGTCAAGGCAATCGGATCCATGATGGTTACTCCGGCTGACAGCATTGTGGTGGCCAAAAATCTGTGAAAAAAGCGGATTAATAGATCGAGGGCAGTGATTATAGAAGCTTAAATGTAGCCGAAAAACAATATGGTGCAATGGACGAATTTTAATAAAATATGGTTAAAGCACTTATAAGAAAATTAAATATCGGGATTTTTTGTTTAAAAAATCAAGAATTCCACATACATCTGTGATTATTTAAAATGAATTTAAAATAATTTAAAATTTAAACTTAAGTCTAAGCAAAAATATATTTATTTTGACTGTTTTTTTATTAGACCTAAATATTTGTTGTATGCTTTTGTAATCTTTAAAAATATATCGTTTAAAAATACGTCCCAGCTTACTAACCTTAGCAAAAAGTACACCCAGAAAATGATCTCGTCGGTCTCTTTATAGTCCGGTGGACATATTTCGGGTGCATTCATTGTAAAAGAACAACGCTGCATCATGCATTTAACAGCTCCGGATCCCATACTCGACATATTTGTACGCCGAACCAAGCCGCCACATCTCAAATCCAGATCGTCCATATCGGTGAGATTGATTTTACCCCTGACCAAATGGTCCTCACCAAATCTCTGCCGGATGTCGGTAACCGTCTCGTTGGCATCCTGTTCAATTTCCATGCCCAATTGCTCGGTGGGATCAGCCAGATCGGGATGCATTTGCAGCATGAAGTAGGTGGCATCGTCTTTATCAGAGTGCACCCAACTGGTCCAAGGTGCCTTCTTCTGACTGCTGCTATCTGTCACTATTGCATAAATAAATACATAAATAAAAACATAAATAAATGAACTATATTAATAATCAAGTCGATTTAATAAAGTTGTCTTGATATTTAAGAAACATGCTTGACGAATGTTATAAATCTTGAGTTATAAGTAGAAATCTTTGTTTTAGAAATATTTCAAGAACATAGTTAGAAACATATTTAAAAAATTGGAATAAGTTATAGAATTTAAGGCTGGTCTTTTATTAAATGTGTCAGAGTTCTTGGGCCCCATTTAAATCATTTTTATAATTTAATATTTTCTGATCAATATTGCTGTTTGTTTGTTTCGTTTCATAATTTTCCTGCTGTGTTTGAGTGAGTCCTTCACATAATCAGACAGTGACAAGAAAATAGCTTTTGCACTTTTCCTGTACTTTTCTGCCCCCCAATGAGAGCGTAGTCTGATTCTGATTCCAAGTTGTGTCCTGTTGTGTCCCCTTGTTGCCTTGATGTCCTGTGCTGGCCATGCATGACCAATTTCCAATTGTGCCAAGTGTCAACTGTACAACCAAGTGTAATGCCATCATGTTTAGTTAGTTATGCACTTTTGTCTGCTGCTGCAGTGCCCCTTTTTCGGGAATGCGCACATTCTGGCCAGGACATTAGGAAAGTTTCTGACTCTCCTGAGTTTTGTTTGGGTGAAATGGGGAAGAGTTTTGCCAGCATTTGATGGCCATGTGGTTTGTTAATAGGACATGATTTAGGACTAACACTTTTGGGAATAAGGGAATGCCCATTTTCTTACGAACTAATGGAAAGTTTAGGTGCGGGATAAAAGCATTGCAAGATTGATTGATAATAATACATGATATGAAACTTATTAAATATTATTAACAATTTTTTTTTTTAAACTTAAACTTAAACTTTCTGCCTTGCAACTTTGAATCTATAACTCTCTTTACCAATTCTAAAGAATTTTGTATGTTGTCTAATCTTGTTTAAAACGTAAATTAAATCGCAATATTTTTTTCTTTAAAATTATATTATATCAAATTGAGTAAACATCAAATTTTGCAATCTATAAAAATACCCGTCACACAATCTCTTTCTTGCTAAAAACTAAACTGTTTACCTAAGATATCATTCCAAGCGAAAGCACTCTCTTTTCCATCTCCATTGGAAATATTTTCATTTTATTTTCCTGTTCATTTTCCCCCACATCTTTGTGACAACTTGCCGTCCACTTTTAATAATGTGGAATAAAAACGCCTTTTTGTGAATTTTTTTTTCCCAGAGAATTGGAAAAAAGTTTCCCCGTAAACTTTGGCTCCACACAAAACGTCAGGCTTTAATGACAACCACCAGGCACCGCCCTAGCACTCGCACACGCACTCAGACAGGTTGAATTATACTTATTTTTTGTGCCAGTAGTAGTTTCATAGAGAGTCTACTCGGTCTTCGGCTTTTATGGAGCAAGTTGTTCTTGGTTTCTGCTCATGCTTCTGCTCCCGGCTGGCAGTTCACAAAAGATGGAAAAACAAACTAATAAAAGTAAAACACACACGGACAGGAACAGGAACACGGACACGGACAAGGATACGGACAAGGACGCCGACACGGATACGGACATCGAAACGGACATGGAGACGGACGGAGGAGATGGTGGACGTCAATAAATATCAGGGGAGGAAGAAGGGAGAGCATTGCAAGTCGACAACAAGTAAACTGACTGGTAGAACAAAGGAGCGACTACATAGAAGAAAATTGCATTAGTACGCTGGAAAAAAAAGAATTTGCGAGAAAAAAATATAGTTTATAGACTCACTTATAAAAGCAAACTAGTTTAATAAAAAATTTAATGACAGTTTGATAAAATATGAAATGACAGATAAAAATGGCTTCGGTACTAAAATATTACCTTTTAAACCAATTTGATATATTTCAGTTTTGAACTAAATATTAATACTTCAAATTATTAATTTTTGAAAATATTATGTCGAAGTGGTTGAATTTGAGTAGTTTAGTAGTTATGGTTAAAAATTAAAATGGTTGTTAAAATCTAAGTAAAAAAATTGTTCCTTTGAAATTTTAAATAATATATTCTGATTATATTTTTTCAAGAGTTACTAAATTTTTAATTATTTACCCCACATAATATTTTTATATATTTTAATAAAACTGAACCTAATATCAACCGCCCTTAAAATTCTAAATAAAAATTTCCCTGACAAAGGTTTTTTTGCAGTGTACATCAAACTGGCCATGATAATAACGCTGTGGTCAGTCGGTGGCTGGACAGGGGCTGGGTAGTTGGCGGTGCAGGGGTTCATCATGTCACTTACGATTCAATCCCTGCATGGACATGGCCGACAGTTCGGCTGACGATGACGGGCCCTGCTCCGGACTCGGACCCGCTGCCACCGCCTCCTTCAGCTGGGACATTGGCGGGAACATGGTCGATGACATATTAAGTACTTCTTGGTATCTGCTCCTCGTCTGCGTGGCGAATAATGCTGGCAATGATGACGCCGGCGATGTGGTGGTCGATGTGGTCGGTGCTGGCGATGTGCCCACTGCCGAGGACGAGGGTTCCATTGTGGTCGTGGTCGGGGATATCCCTGCTGTGGTTGCCGTTAGCTGGGTTCTCTGGGTGGTGGTGATGGTGGTGGTGGTGGGGGGCATGGTATTCGTGTAAAGCTGCGGATTAACTTGCTCCTGCATCAAACAATAGTCGACGCACTGATGCACGGCCAATTCCAGCTCCGGCTCCTCCGGACACTCTCGACTCGGACACGGAGACCACCAGACCTGCGGTGAAAAATACGAATGGGAAAAAGGCAAAAAGAATGTATTGGGAATTAGAAATGGCTAAAGGATTTGTGCAAGCACAAGGAAGGCCAAACGATGTTCAGCAAAAATGCTCAAATATCCCTGAACATTTGCACGGATTCCGTACATCGATTGTTTGAGCTAATAGTAAGCTCGGTTCATTGGATTTGCTCTCAAATGGGATTATTGCAAGCCGTGCAATATATACAAAAATAACATTGACAGAGGTTAGAACTTCTGCTATTTACTAAAAACATATGTGGTTTTTAGTTTTTATAACATTTATACATATATAACTTGTAATGCAAACAACTTTTTTATCTTCTATCGAAAATATTATCTTGTCGAAGCATAAAAAAATATGTATTGCCTTAAAATAAAACAAATAAAGAATTAAAATTTAATTCCCCTTATTAAACTGAAGTCAATAACAGTTAATTAATACAAATTCTTAGTTTATAATATACGATTAATAAACTATTTTTACATGCATTTTAAAATATTGCTTATAAAAAAAAAAAACCTTAGACAAAATGAAATGAAACTATAAAGTATATGGGTTACATTATTTAGTACTGAAATAATGCATATACTTTAATGCTATCTGTAGTTTAATTTCAAGAGACCTATTAAACCTAAACTTTCAGTTTTATTTTAGTGGCAGAGAGGAAAAAAAATGAAAATTGTTTAATAGGCTTTGAGATTTTAGGTCTATTATGTATAGAGATTGAATTGAAACCTCAGTAGGCCTTAGCTATTCCATCCCAGCGTTCACTATTCCCTTTGCTCAGTTCCCAGTTGTCGGGCTATAGGTAGGTCATACCATCACAAGCAGAGAAGCCAAAGGATAATCAAGGAGAATCATCTACAATGTTCTCGCTGCCGTTGAAATCCTGGAGCATTCAGTTTCGTGAACTGATGACCTCGCCTTTTGCCATCATTGCGCTGACCTTTGTGTTGGGATACGTGGTCTATACGAAGACCAGACGTCAGCATGGAACCTATGACGATGAGGACTACGAGATCGAAGGTCACCGCAAGTTGCCGGCTCCATTGAAGAATCTTCAACTCAACCGAAAACAATTGGCCAAATATAATTCGGAAAATCCCGATAAAACATATTTGGTGGCCTTGCAGGATGTCATCTATGATGTTTCGAGTGCGCCCCATGACTTTGGACCCGGTGGTAAATACGCGGCACTTTCGGGTACCGAAATTAAAGGTTTTGTAAAAAAAAAGTCTATTATCGAGATGCGTAACTATTTAACTTGTTTGAGCGAGTGGCAAATGATGCTGGAGGACATTTTTTATCGAGCTGGAGATATAATCGATGGACAGGACGATAGCATTAAAGAAGTGGATGAAGATGAAAAAAATGATGATGTTGATCACACCGATCGAAATGTGGAGGAACTCTGTGAAGCTGGACAGGGTGATAATGATGGCAATGTCTGCGAAAATGTGACATCCGATGATGAAGCTCTCAACCGGTCCGATTGGAACGACATAGATGTAACTATGGTGGCCACTACATAAATAATCCCTCTACCTTCACGCATCGCCCTTTGAAATCCAGCCAAAAGTGGCACTTAACCCATCATAAGCCTCAATATATGAACTTAAGCCCTTTGCCGTAATAACACAGACATAAATAAATATCTCTTGGATTTTAAGTGTGTCTGCACTTGCAGCACTTACACCAAAAAAAAACCTTACTATTACATTGTCAAAATTACGTAATTTTAATACTTCAATTTGTAATACTTTAAACATAAAATATATGAGGTTATGTGGCAAAAAATATAATATGGGTTTTCTAATTAGTTAAAATATGTTGTAGTTCATTTATTTTTTCCCTGTGCACTGCCTGTGGCCATGTGTTCGTGTTTCTGCATATATCCGTTACCAATTTTAATGCGAATTCAATAAGGCTCTGCCAAGGGTTGAATGGGGCTGATTGGGAGGCAGTATCGAGCGGGCGCTCGACTGCAATAATAAAATGGTAATTTCCGTTCACTGCCGTCGTCGGCGGTCGATGCCAAATAAATTTATGCCAAACGGCAAACCGAACTCGGCTCTATAATGGCATAAAATAGTAAACCGCAAGCAACAGGACATGGCCAGTGTAACAGGACACGGTATATGGTGTACATTCTCCTGCTCCAAGGATGAACAGAGGTCCGGCGAACGTGCGGAATGAACACAAATGTAGCCATAAGATGCGTTTGCATGCTCTTATGCCAGCAAAATGCTCTTTCAAAGGGGTATTAACAATTGTTGTTAAGATTTAGCTAGGTGCTAAGTCCATTAAGATTATTCAGATGGGAAAGAAAAAATAGCTAGAACATTAATAATTTAAATTCTTAAGGTTTTCTTTTAATGCAATCCCTGTCGTTCTGAAATGTTAAAACAAAATAATTTTTATTTTAGTTGGGATTATTATCAATGTTTATTTATTTGAAAAACGTTTTTTGGAATTTTTAATATATTTAAAAATTTACCTGCAAGGCATGTTTGTTTTCTGTAACATTTAACAAAAGTATATTTTATTTATAAATAAAAATTAATTTCTACTAAGATTATTGTTTTTTAAGTAAGCGCAATATGTGTAATTAATTTGGCACTGTATTTGGGGAAAAAATAAAATGGTGAATATGAAATATAGATTGTTTTAAGTTTGTAGTGCAAAAGAAATGTATCTAAACCAAGGTTAATTAACCAAAAGTCACACTGAAAACAAATATCACACTATACTTTCTCTATTTAATCTGTGATCTAGAGTACTTCGTATTCGCCTAGTCCTTTTCAGTATTTCCCCTGTTTGCTGCAGCTATTTTAATGGTGTTATTGTATTTTATGGGCACATCATAAATACAAATTCAATATACGCCCGTGCCAAGTGGTGAACGCTGGGTGGAATTGGCCGCCAATGGGTGCGTGTGTGCGTATCCTTCAGATTCGTTCGTGAAATGAGGCGAAAGCGGGGCCGTCTTTGGGCCAAGGAACAAGAACCAAGGACCCAGCATCCAGCATCCAGCACCCAGGACCCAGGAATCAGGACCTCCCCCCAAAATAGCAGTTCCATTGCGTTTCATTACGACTAACGGCAATGGCTCGAGCACAAGAAAGATTTTAATGTGTGTGCGAGTGTGTGCAGTCGTGTTGGTGTTTTAGTGCGGCTTAAGTGCTGGCAAAACGACACTAAGATAAATGTACGTGATACACAGGCACGGATACAAAACACTCACACTGGCACTCGGAAAAATCCACAAGAAATGGCGCTTAAAATAATAGAAAGAAAATATATTTTCCCACCAGTATATAGGTAACTATTTTGTTAAAGAACAAAAATAAATTCTCTCTATTTACTTCAGTAAAAATGTATTTAATAAATACTATTTACTATTTTTGTAGATTTTCGCATTCATCTCTATTTAAAAACAAAATCAAACATATTGCTTATTGAATTACTAACAAAGTTGTGCTGCTGATTATTTATTTTCTTTTACCATAACAAGGTTTTTGTCTAGTTATTGTAAGCCTGATGTTCATATTATGTATATTTATATATATATAGTAGTAACTAGGTATATTGTTGCACTCTTTCTTATTTTGTAAAAGAAAATATATTTAATTCTCAAAAATTACATTCTGTTGCCATTTTTTTTGCTGTCTTTTATTTTAGTATTTTATTTGAATTTCTCGTTTAATTTTTAAACAAATAAGCTTGAACAGGAAAAACCAACCTTTAGATCTTGTGTTGCTTATTAAATTACTGACAAAATTGTGCAGCTGAGGGAATTATTTTGTTTCACCGTAACAAGATTTTTTGCTAGTGCTTGTAAACCTGATGTGCACTCGGCTTAAGTGGATTTTTTGGCACCGTCTTGAAGTTTCTAGTAGGACCCGAATATGTTCCCCCTCCCTGCTGTGGAAAATCTTGTATAGTAGTTGCTTCTGGTGAGCTGTTTCTAATGCGTTCTCCATTCGCTCGCTGGCTGTCAGGCTGCGTTGCTGCTACTGTCATTTTCTATTTTCTATTTTCCATTTTCCATTTGAATTTGTTTAGCCTCAGTCCCGCTCTCAATCGTAAGGGCCCTTTGGCTTCGTTTTACCATAATATCCCAGCCATGCAGATTTTTGCCCTGCTCGCCACGCCCCCTGCCACGCCTTCTTGGCCATAATTCGATTTATGTAAAACCCTTGTAGAAGTTTTGTAGTCCTGCGACTGCTGCAATTTGCTGCCACTGCTCGAGAGCCCTGCTTGTGTCCAAATGCAATTGCCAAAAGGTGTGAGACTGTCAGCTCTGCCAGCACTGCCAGCTCTCAACTGAGTCCATAAAGAAATGCAATCTCGAGTGGATTGAACGGAGCTGAACTCTGGCCGAACACCTCGGGGGAAAAGCTGCTCCGTGCGCCCAAAATCTCTTCCTGCCAGCCATAAAGCATGTACTCAAATTTGTTATGCCACATCTGACCGGCTTACAGGACCCACAGGACCCGAAGGACACGCAATAACAGCCAACCCCCGAGTCAGAGTCGTTTGCATTGATACGATCATAAGCATAAAGCGTACACATACATATATAGTATATATATATATATCGATATCAATAAAAAGGAAACGCTGAGGGAAATCACAGAAATTCTGGTACAACAAAAATGCCCCTCAGATGGTATGACATTTATTTGCTTTATTTCGATGATTTTACATGACGCAAATTTATGCATAAATGCAGATAAAGAACCAGGTCCAGAACCAGAACCGAACCAAGGACAGTAAAATGAACAAAAAATGGGGAGAAAAAGAAAGAATGATTTCCACTGCTGCACTCGCAGGGTGACAGAAAAACACGTGCACTCAACCAATACATTTATCTTGATGTGCACACAAATTTGACTGAATAGTATTTATCATGTTAATAATACATTTTTGTAATTGTCAACATGTTAATATATTTCCTAATAATTTTGAAATATCTTCTTTTATACTTACTTATTCTTTTCTAGCAAATTTTTTGACTTTTATAAACAAGTTAATAATTATAGTTTATTGGGCTTCTTTTAAAAATATATTTTTGTCCTTAACATTTCAATTTGTATCATCAATCAAAATACTTAAGTTAATAGTTGTTCTTTTAAAATTAAAAAAGAAAAACGGTAGAGTATCTAAAGAAAAACAAACTAATTTTATTATTTCTAAAATATTTTGTTTCATATAAGTACTTAATTTTTAATAGTCGTCCATTTAAACGTGAATTTTGTGCTCTTTTGTCGAGAGTGGAGTCACTTGAATACAGGAATAACTGCCAAGTGTGGTACTCCACGCCTATACGTAATATTTGGACTGTTCTATCGGTGTGTACTCCGTCGCATTGCGTATCCGCCGCGTGTGCGTTTGTGTGTGCGCCAGCATGTGGCATGCTGCTGGGAGCACAGAAGCCGGCAGGAAGTTGCCAAGCGGAACGAAGCAACTCCATGTTTTCCACAGAATCGCGCAACGTGCCACGCATTAGATACTACTCAGATACTCGCACAAACACACACAAAGGTACGCCATCATGGTGTGGGTGCCATGGTGTTCGTGCACAAATTGTGTTGGTGTGTGGGTATGAGTTGCATGTGGCAACATTATGTTGCCGCTGCCTCAAGTAAATGCCGGCTTTTATGTAGTTCTCCTCTGCTTCTTGGTCTGGCTCTCCGCAATAGAGACATGCCGTGACTGAAGTGAAAACCATTGTGAAATGTGGAAAGTGGAAAGAGGGCTTTGAAAGCAGCTTCGAATGGCCAAGAGGATGCCGAAGATTTTTGGCAAATCGCACGCAACAATTGGCATTGAAAATTACTGCTTAAAATGTGGCACAATTTAAGGTGGATTTAAAATGCCAATGAAACATTGAATACAATTACTGTGTGCTAAAAGTTTTTAATTATTATTGAAAACTATTAGTTTGTTTTATTTAATGATTTTTTCTCAAAATTATTGGTTTCTGTTTTATTATATCCTGAGATTTAAAATCACCTACATATAAAAATTTGTAAAAGTTTAAATATTTCGAAACGAATCCTTTGGATCCTTTTTAATAAACTTTTACCACCTTGAATCAACTTGAAACTAACAATAATGAAAGTGAAATGTAATATTACCATGAAGAAAATTGTAATTGCTGGTAACTTAAAACATAATTTAAAGCATATGCGATTAATTAATAGCAGTAACCACATACACACCCGACTACACCCTTAATTTCAAACTATTCAGACATTCTAACCTTCCCTTCGTTAACTACACTCACAATGTACTTAAAGTCATCATCAATGTACTTAAAGTCATCAAGAAAGTGAGAAAAGGGGGTGAAAGTGGTGGACTTAAAACAAGGTGAGGAGAATGCAGGGTAACCATGAAATAAGCGCATTAAAACTGTTCAAGAGCAACAGCTGTTTCCCATGAGTGGGAGAACAATGCATTTGGCATCCATTCCCGCAAGGAAAAACCCAGAGAACCGAGGTTGCCAAGCCGCAGCCACATCATTTTTAGCTCTTAACTAAACAAGCGTCTAAACATATTTGCTCACGCACCTCAACCACAGCACCCAAAGAAGATTACAGCCTTCTCCAAACATTAAACCTGATTGAATCGAAGTTAGAGCGCTTTAATCGATTTATGGGGGAGAATTTTCATCGCCTTAGAGTGTGCACAGCAACAAAATATGAACAATATGAGTAATTAATTTGCTTGCTTAAAAGTTTGTTTTTAATCAATGAATAATAAGTACCATTAAGAAATAATTATTA